CAGCTAGATGCAAGATGAGCCTTCAAGAGGAAAAATGTGACTGAGGCTAAATTTGAAAACATGCCAAACATGAGCATGCAAGCACCTCAGAGGACATCCAGGTTTTAAGGACAGACACACACACACACACACACACACACAGGCAAATGTGCTGCGGCTTCAGTGATAAACCACAATCTGACAGTCAACTGGACTCCTTACATACCAATATAGTGTACACCATCAGTGGAAGGAAAAGTGTGAAAATGAAAACCATTTTTAATGTGACATTTATGGAAGAAAGAAGCAAAACTGCAGCAAAAGGTCAAACCTGTGTGAGAAGACCAAGCGAGAGCAGAGGAGCAAACGTGATGTTTCCAATCACTATTAATCAGTGACATTTTCAAAAGAGAACACAGGACACACTGTTAAACACATACTTCTTCATGAAAAATAGCATCTCTGCCCCTCTGGCTCCACTTGGCATCCTTTTAATTATAAGCTCAACATTTCCAAGAGTCATGTGCAATGGAGACTGAAACAGACTGAAGATAAGGAGGAGGACGGCAAACAAACCTTGGCTTCATGTTAACCATACACGCTGGAGTTGGCCCAGCTCAAACAATGATGGCAAAAGTCATCATTCATTTCACTCCTCTTTAGACAACACTTAAAAGAGTAATGTTTGATTCATTTTTAAAAGTTCTACATGTACATAGTGCAATGTTAAGCACATACATATGTAATCTCCTCAGTAGAAAGCACCTTATTTCTGGCAGAAATTTGAGCACTTGCTGTTTTCCAAAGGAAAAACAAAATTATGGCTGACAGGATCTCATCAGACATGAGCGACTGTGGCAGGAACCACGTTTCACAGACAGAAATAAGAAGCTGTAATCTCTCCAGTGAGTGAGAAGGCAGAAAAGAACTTTCCGTGGAATGTTATTTCACTTGGACTGTGACAAAACTTGTGTTATACCACAAGCTGTTTCACTGTGTACAACCTTGGATACTAATCTGTTACTGCCATTAAACTGTACATACTTTACATTGCTATGTATCAACATTTACAAAAGCACATATCTGATGACAACTGTTACATCCAAAAATTGAGTTTTATACTTTAGAGGAAAAAAAAATCATCTGACCTTATAATAAAAAAGGCATTCAACCAAATGGTCTACACACTCATGAATTTTCTGCTGTTTTATGGCTTACATCTGTTAGTATTCATGAGTCAACATATATGCAGCACTGCACAGTGATATAGTGCATACAAAGAGTTCAATCATATCTCCATCTTTACATTTTTTGTTTGCAAATGTCACTGTCATGTTGTCTATCCAGGAAAAGGCTGATTACACATTAGCACTATAAGAAAAGGGAACCAGAGGGCTTCCATTATGAGGAGGAGATTATCAAAGGATCAACCTCTTGCTCCCGGCTGTATGACCAGCTGGTCCTGCCTGGGTCAGTGCTGGGCCACTGGGACATTTCCTGGGACTTCAAATAACCAGTGCACTTGCTTTTGCCAAACATGCTATGATGTGGTTCTCTTGCTTTACAGCCCTTCATGAATCTCTAACAACAACAACTTCATTTATAATAGCTGCATTAAAGCCAAAAGAGAAAGGGGTCACATGAGGACAAGAGAGCAAAGGAATTTGAAGAGGATGGCCTTTCAGAAAGGTACATGGAAATCAAGGAGCGAACAACATAGAAAATGAATCAAAGTGCTACAATAAATCATGGAGTAGGGCGTCGGAGGGAGTGAAGAGCTAGCTGGAGAGCACAGGGAGCAAAGTCCTCCCTCCTCCCACATTCTAGTGACAATATGAAGCCAGCTGGTTTGGCCAAAGCACCTATTCACTAAACATCCAGGGAGCAAAGGAGATAAAAACAAGGTTTTCTGTAAAAAGGGGATACAGGTCCTACACTGCCCAAAGCATCATGAGAAGTGAAGATGATAACATTTGACTTGGGACCAAAATGTATACCAAAGCCATCATTTAGACAATGTTTAATTGGCAGAATGTAATCAATGCAATTGTAATCAAGGTTTATGGAACACAGGAATTGGCCACGCCTCATCAGAGAAGAGAGATAGAGACCTGTATGAGACCTGACAGTGGGGTGATTTGGAGTTTCATGCTAGTGCTACCTTAAGTTACATATTGCAACTTTAAGTATCAATCATAATCAAAATCACCTTTATTTGGCCAAGCATGTTACACACACACAAGGAATTTGTTTCCGGTATAGAACCGAGGCAGCCATCTGCGGTGCCAACTCAACTAATGGCTCTAACCCTTAGGGGCAACTTGGGGGCTCAGTGTCTTGTCCAAGGACACTTCAACACATGGACTGCAGGCACCGAGATTCGAACCTCCAACCCTCCGGTCGAGAGACGACTGCTCTACCCACTGAACCACAGTCGCCCCAAGGGAACCATAAATTGTAAAGTTTACCAAGAAAATCAACCACATACACAAACAATATAAGAGAAGAGGCAGAGCCAGGTCCTCCAGGGCAACAAGAAAATACCTTATTGTAAAGTCATCATGAAAAACTACAAACTGCAGTTTACAAAAAGGTACACTTAAAACCTGACTCAACAGGGTGCTGTAGTAGTGAGTCCTGCACTTCCGGTTCCCTCGCCCTTAAGTCATTGGGTTTTGGTAAGATGCCTGAAATAATGTCTATGGTTAACACAAGGCCAATACATTTTCACGTTTTGTTCTATGACATAAAATCCATCCATCCATCCATTTTCTTCCGCTTATCCGGGGCCGGGTCGCGGGGGCAGCAGTCTAAGCAAAGATGCCCAGACTTCCCTCTCCCCAGACACTTCCTCCAGCTCCTCCGGGGGAATGCTGAGGCGTTCCCAGGCCAGCCGAGAGACATAGTCCCTCCAG